GCATGCTGTGCTCGGGGGAGGGAGGTCTTCTTGGTCAAACATGTGCACCTCTGGCTAAATCCCCCAATGTGCTCGTCCTACTGCAGGAAATCACCTCAAACTTAGTTATAAATGTGCTTTCAGCCACCAGCATTGGGAAAACTTTGGGTTTTTATTGCACTTGCTGTGGTTAGGTTTTATTTCTGTGTATTTCCTAAACGTAATTTTAAGATCTTGTCAGTTGTGAATGATTTCCCCCACCCTGAAATTCTTCCTATGGTGTTAGGATTGGTGACTTTTCTTTCTTGCTCTTTGGAATGAGCAAGTACTTCTGCTGTTTTGAACGACATACCAAATTAATGCGTTGGTGTTGGAGATTTCCTGGTCTCTTCTTGTGTGGTAGCCACTTCTTAATCATAATGATCAAGGGGATTCTTAAACACCCAATCGATTGTTGCAGGCTTAGTCTACTTCATTAACTATGTTTTGGGTGAAAGTCAAGTTTGAGTTTCAGAGCTTGGCTGTGAAGATCTTGAAGGGCTGTTTGGCAACTACGGTCAGTAAAATTATTCAACTGTGTCTGGGCAATTACTGTAGTAAACAGTGTTTGCTAGGGACAGAACTGCATTATAGTAATGGAATCTTGTTACATGGTTACTCTTATTTGTTTCTACAAGGGACTTTAGTCGCAGGCTGTTCTATGACAGCAAGAACAGCACCGTCTCTCAAAACTATTTTTTTTTTTTTTAAATGGGAATAGCTCTGTGACCTCCAATTAACTGAAGGAGCAGCTCCTTGTCAAACAAGAAGAAATTGTATATGTTTCTCAATCTTTTTTTGAAAGTGTAAACTTTGTTGCAAAGAGTCCCGAGTTGTTAGAGGCTGATCTTGTTGTTGTATCTGTGGCAGGGGTGGAGCTTTCTCCATCTTTGGCTAGCGGGGCTGTGCCCATGCTCTTCTTGCAGTGAGGAGCAGAAAGCTCTTCTTAAGGACCTTCTCTGGGGCTTACAAGGTGCTGTTGGGGACTTTACTGTGAGCCTTGTAACTGGTTAGAAGCGATTGATTTAATTTATTCTCCAGTAAAAGTCTTAAAGAAGTTACAAAGTGGGCAACTGAGGTGTAGAGAGCTCTTGTACCAAAACACGTGTCATCTCCTGTCCTCTCTGGCAGCTCTGTGGGAGAGTAATGTATAGTTAGACCCCAAATAGTAATGGATTGTGGAGGGGGAAGTCTCTGAATGAGTAGAAATGTTTAATCTTCTTGTATAGTGTCAGGAGCAAGCTACAGAATAGCTGCCAACTACTTTTGAAACTATTTTCTCCACTGTGTTTTCCTGTTTGTCCAGTGTTGATACTATGGACAAAACAAGCCGTTCTGGTTCTGGTACTTGTGTTTATTTGCTTATCTCTTCCATTGTTTCTGTGAACTTCAAAATGACTAAATTTGTTTCTGCATCCATTAGTTTCACTGCTTCTGTCTGTGGTAATGCTGGTTTGTGCATGCTTTTACTTGCCTTTCCCCTGAGAGGGAAGCTAAACACAAGGGAATGTTTCTACGATTCACTCAACTGAGGTTTCTCTGCTACTGGTGTAAATTAATTAAATATATTTCTACTCAATTGTTATATTTTATGGGAAGAGGGAGTGATTTTTCAGAAGAGTAGTGTTCTCTAGCAAGGTATTCTAATTCCTGTGTTCAGGCAAAGTCATATTTGTGGTCTTTCCCAATCCTTTGCTGTTCTCCCCATGTTGCCAATGAAAAGAAAGGTAATGCCATCCCCCCCAAAAGTTGGTCAAGCCAACATGTTTTTTCTGTGAAGCAACAACTGTTCTTCTGGTGAAAAGTTTGTGTAGATGCTTCAGAGATTTGTTAAGATAAATACCAGTTACAAGCAGACAGCAAATGACCTTTTTCACATTATATTATTTGTTCACCTTTACTGACTTACTGTCATTTGTGCTTTCAAGAAATTAACTGAAGTTATTCTTTGGGATTCTTAAAATATTTATAAAAAAGCAGCTTGTTTATTCAGGTGCTCTAGAATAAAATAGAAAATTTGTGGAAAACGCATGTGCTGCTACTGTATGCAATCCTTTAAATTTTTGAGGTTTTCTTTTTGTTGTCTAAAAATTGTAAACACTGGTGACAGATTTAACATGTTTAAGTGTCTTTGACCAGCAGAGGACCTCTTGATATGGGAAATTTATAGCGTTAAATAGGAATATTAATGTTTTATGTGACAGTAATGATGACAAACCAGTTAACATGTAATATACTAGGTCAGGCTGGATGCTTTCATGATTGCTTGATTGCATGACAGAAAAGCAATAATCATGTTTGCATTGTAAGTACTTTATAGAAAGAAATAGATGTTTGTTTACCTTTTCTTATATTGTATATATCTGAATTTATGGTTAGTCACTCCTCCACTTTACTTCCTTTCTGAAGATTTGTGTAGAGTTTGACGATGAGCCATGGGAAAAGAGAAGATGGATAGAAGTCTACAGCCATAAAATGAAAGTGTTTCTGGTGGAGCAAAAGCTGGTACTGGCTGAAAGAAAAACTTCAGGCAATTCTGTGCCTCCTGTCCAGTGGCCTGCAATGGTAAGTATAGGCTTGGCCTAACTCACTTTGGTTCTGCTGTTCCATCTTATAAGGACAGTGCTGTAAAAGTGTGGATTTCTTGAGTGTAGCTTTGCTTGTGTTCTCTTATGTGTGATCTGAAGGGAGACTAAACCTCTGTACAGCTCAAGCCAGGCAGAGCTTGTAAGCATTTGGAGTTGGTATGTTGTGCCTGGAGATACAGGAATGTATTTTTATGGCTTTGCTTCCCTCCCAAACCACTCTTCTGTAAAATGTTAATTCCTTCTCTCTCTAGTCTTGCATTTCTTCATTCAGGAAATTGCAGTTAAGAACAGAGAGAAAAGAGGTAAATAGGTTTCTAAGGAGAGCCTGTATTTTTATCTTAAACTCGTGTGTTACTCTGCCTCAATTACTGTTAATTCTTCAGTGATTCTTCATCTGAGACAAAAATTAAAAAAAAAAGACTCTTATGTGATGGCTGCCTAGCACAGATGATTTATGAGAACTGGATTTTGGGCGTATAAAAACGTGAGCTGTGCTGTACAAGCCGGAGAACCAAGGTTTCTGTAACTGCCATGCATGGCTGGCTAGGCAAATTAGCCAGTAGAGGCAAACAGAATGTTTCTTGATGTATTCAGCCAGTACAGTTTTACTTGACTACTTTGGACATTGCTGCTCGTAAAAGGAGTTGTGAAATAAAGGAATATGTAAACTTGCTGAACGTGAATTGTACTGAAGTTATAGCCAGTGTTTAATGCTCTCCTCTAGGTATGAAGTATGCAGCGTAATTCATATTGTTACATTTTAGTTGCAGTTTTTCTTAAGCAAAGCTAATCTAAGCAGACATTTGTTGGAAGTAGGGCCAAACAGGGTGGGAGAGGAAGTGGAAAGATGAATCTTTAATTTTATTTCTTGACCTGTGCATTCATACCAGCATTTCTGCTGGGAGGTTTTGCTGATACGATGTTCTGAAAACCATGCTTATTTAAACTTTAGCTGTTGTCCGGTTCCAAGTATCTGAACAATTCTTACTGGATACTTTATGTATGAAGCTTCCTTAACGACATGTTTGAAGTGTCAGTTCGTGCAGGCTACCTGTTTAAAAGCTCATTTAACAGAGGAACGATACGGGATAAAGTTAAGCACAATGCTGGAGCTTGCCTTGGCAGCAGAGACTTTTTCCTCCCCTTCCCGCAAGACAAGAAAGCATCAAAAGAGGGACGTGTAGATTAATTTATTTAAATCTCAATCACAACTTACTGATCCAAGTACACAGGAGAGTATGTTTCTGACAAATGAAATAGCTTTGCCAAATTCCTGTAAGGCCCAGTCGCTCCTGGAGGGACTCCTGCTCCTCACGTGGTGATGCTGCCCCTTTGCCAATGTTGTTTTCACTTCAGTACGGAAACCAAAGTGGAAGAAAGTATTTGCTTGATCAGTCCTTTGGAAACCCAAACACATATTCTAACAGAATGGTTTTCACTTTTTTCTTCTAACTTGGGTACGAATGTGGGTTTTTTTCACAGAGGGAGGAGTTAGTTCTAGACCCTTGTGATGTTCCAGACTCCTGATGCCTCCCTGCTCAGAGCTCTTACTGCAGGACCACGCATCATTTAATCTTCAGCATATTAGGGCAGAGTTCAGGAGCTTTTAAGGAATTTTTTTCTTTCCTTGTCTATTCTTAAAGCCTTTGGTATACCTGAACACAGCTTCATAATTGTACTGCAGTGGTAGAACAACGTCATACACATCTAAACCGAGACTTCAGGATGTTATCAGTGTTGCATAAGCTTTGAGAACTTTCAGACATTCATTTAAGCCATTCATTCGTTTGCTAGTTATTTCCTCAATCTACCAGAAGGAGGGTTTTTCACTAACATATCCACAATTAGAACTCTTAATAAAGTAAATTCTCTTTTAAGAAAGTAAATTCTTCATGCTGAAATAAGTGATTAATGATTGTTGGTGACAGCAACCTGAACTGACTTCCTAAGTTATTCTAATAAATGAAATTAACTTCATGTGTAGGTCGTTAGCTCCTTCACTAGACATATATTAGAAATTTTACTAGAAACTTGCTTTGTAGAACTGCGTGTAGATATGGTGCTCTAACAGAGAAATAGATGCAAAACTAAAATATTTTTTAATGTAAATGAGGAATTATGAGATATCACTCTGATTCTAAGAAATGTTTATCACTTTTCTAGACTTACAAATCCTTAGTGGACAAAGCTGGCTTGGGATCAATGGTTTCGGTACGCTATCTCGGTGAAGAGAAATGTGTTTTTCTTTCTAAAGACCTTTTGACACCCATTCAGGTAACCTTCTGTGGCATTATAAAGATGGAAGATAATAATAATAATAATAATAATAATTCTGTGGCATTATAAAGATGGAAGATGCCAGGTTAATATATTCTGAATGCAACCTTTAGATGGGTAACAACTTGGAATAACTGTTTACTGCTAGAACTTGTAAGTATCAGTTGTGAATGTCATGTGCCCATTGATTGAAAACTTGAAGCTGATCCAAGACTTGGTCACTTAAAGAGCTGGATGCAAGGGAGTGTGCTGGAATTTATTCAACTCAGGTGACAATTGCATCATGTTGATGGTGGGGATAATCTGGAATAGTTACCCATTGTTCTGGCTAACAGGACTATCCTTTCTACGGAAGGAATCACAAGAATGTCTCGAATAAATCTTGCCGCTCAGTAGAAACACATAATTTCTAATCCTGAACAAATGAGGAATTGGGTAGGATATAAATGATATGGCTGAATTCTAGCCCTTTTATTGAGCAACAGGAGGAAAGTTTATTAGTGAAAATTAGGTCGAGATGGGTTGAAACAATTGTCCTGCAGGCTGGTCAGGCATTTTCAAGAATAGTGTCTGCTAATGATAAAGAATTTAACTTTTTTCAGGGAAATTACTCTCACGACCTAAAAACACTGCATAAAACTATTGTTGTCCCATATTGAGACTGCTGGTAGTGTCATTGTTAGTGTTCTACTTTGGCTTGTTAACAGTCAGCAAATAGACAACTCCTTGAGCAACTACCAAAAGAATCACTTAAAGCTAAATTTGAGTTGTAGATTGTTGTCTTGCCTGCGTTGGCTGAAGAGTTCTTTATGTAGAAGCCGTATCTCAGCACTGCAGGGAAGACAATTGTTTTTAGGGCATCTTGAATAACAGTTTCTTGACTACTGCAGCCTTCTGCTTCATACACATACCAGAGCAGTGCTTTGGACAAACAAAAAAAACCCCAATAACCAATCAAACAAAACCAACAAACCAAAGAAAACCCCTTTTTATTAGCACTCTGAGCCATTGGTAAAAACTTGCACTAAAGTTCCCCATTCAGAATCAATTCTAAATGTTGTCAAGCAACTTGTTTTAGATAACAATACTGAAAAAAAATGCCTAAAATATAAATACATGATGCTGGATAACTGTGAATTATTTGGATGTAGCTGACTGGGTTTTTTTGGTGAATATTTTATAATGGTCTCTTGAGATGGGGTGGATCCTGGTGTTATGATAAGTAGAAACATAAACCTTAAAATATTTGCATTTACATCTGCTCAGCGCTACTTACACATTTTGCTGCTTCTGAGAACGTAAAATCCTCAGTTGAAAAATGAATGGTTCAATTAAACCTAGGGCTCACTAGCAATGTAGTAAGGCAAAACCAGATTGTTTTCAGAACGATATGAAAGTGGGCCTAGAGAGCTCACTTCAGCCTGTCTCACAGATGATCGATCCAGATTAGTGGTGAGGAAATGGTTTGCCTTGATAAATACAATATCCTAGGAGCTGAAGGAACTTGGACTTGTATGAACTGCTGCTGTCTTGTTTCAAAGTACTATGGTGGTTTGTTAATCCAAACCCATTATCCATAATACTGACTCCTATAATTTTTTTTTTATTCCTAAACAGGATGTGGACAGTTCCAGGCTTCATCTTAAGGATGATCAAAATGTTAATGAAGAAATTCAGGCTTTGGTTAAGAAACACCTGGACGAAACACGCTTGGTACAAGGTAGAAGCATCCTCTAGCGGAAAATTCTGGCAATAAATACTCAAGTTAAAAGGGAAATCTTTGCAGTGATGGTGTAAATTACAATAATCTGTTCTAGGGATAAAAGGTGTTTTTTAAATACTGATTCTCCTTTCTTTTGCAGCACTAAATGAAACATGCGAAGGATTATAGAGATTTGTTTGAAATGTATTTACTCTTTCAAAGGAATTACAATCTAGGCCCATATAGATGGCCTGGCACTTGTGAAAGAGATGAAATTTGTAGTAATTCTCACTGGAGTGATTTGAAGTTGTTTGTCTGATGTAGCTCGATTCCTACGAAGTTTTATATCAGACTACATTTTAGTCAACTTAAAATTGTTATTTTTAGATTTGCCACCTTCAAATTCTTAGTTATTGGGTTAATACAACATATTTGTAGTAATGTGCTTGCATGTGCAAGAAATGTCTTTTGTTGAAAGGTAAATATTACAACTTGAAGTTGTCATTTCCAATACTGTAAAGAGAAGAAAAATTCATATCTTATTATTGAATCTTTGTTTCTGTGTCCACTGATCTGCCTTACTCTCTGAAATCTGGCCTCTGCTGCATGTCTTAACCTTCAGAAAAAATTTCATTGAGCCGTTCCAGGAAGGAGGTGGCTGGAACATATGTTGTCAGACTTTTTTCATCCCCTCAGCTGTGTGGAAGCTTTCTCCAGGTTCTCAGCTGATTTTGCTTACTTGCATCTTATGTAGAATCATAAAATGGAATCATAGAATCATTAAGGTTGGAAAAGACCATCAACCATGCAGTACCGTTGGCACATTCTTACTGGTAACTGTGATGATCTTTGTATTCCCTTTTTAATTAAACTCCTTTTTCTTGTATTTTTTTTTTCTATTTTTAAGGTGGGAAAAATATCATTGGTTCAAAAATTAGAATTTATAGCCTGGATCCATCTACTCAGTGGTTCACAGCAGTTGTTGTCAATGGTAATCCAGCTACAAGAACTCTAGAAGTCAACTGCCAGGAGGTAAGAACGGGTTGCTGGTGGGTTACAAATGGAGATGGGAAGTGGATGAGAACTTGTATTTATGTCCTCACCAACACTATTTTTAATTCTGTCCTAACTGTATTAAATGTGATGCGGATCAGTGTAGCCCAGAATAAACTGTTACCCCCAGATGTTTCTGTATGCTGCTGGTAGAACTGTCAAATGGGAAGTAGCCTTGTATGCAAAATGGGGGAGACCTGGACTTTTTATTTAAAGAGAGAGGCAAGTGTATGGTCCTGGTTTCTTTTTCTATGCTGTATAGATAGTGCCCTGAAGCACCAGCATATACGTGCGTTTTGATGTCACAACGATATGTTGTCAAATGCAATGTGGTATTCAAAGAATCTAGTTGTGTCTTAAGTGAAGCCTGTACCTCAATATCCAAGATAAATACATTCAAACAATATTTTCACCTCTGCTTGTCTGTTTTTGTTCTTTTCCAAGATCCCAGCTTTAAAAACCCTTGATCCAGAGTTAATTCATGTTGAAATTATATATGACAACAATGGAAAATGTGGTAAGAGTTGTTATTGTTTGTCCTTCAAACACTAAGTAGCATCTTTGTGATAAACGGACTAATCTTAATCACCTTCTCTTCCAGATAAACCTAAAAGAATTGGAGGCGTGAAGAGGAAGTCGTCTGAGAATAGTGGAAGTGTTGATGCTAAACACACAAAATCTTCTGAGGTAGTGTTGTACTATATTATATACGACTGTTATATAATGGTTATGTCATTTCTCAGAACAGTCAAATAAGGATTAGGTGGGAAAGTGGAATAATAAATATAATCTCTGGGAGGGTGTGGTGAGTTTGTTGAAACTTGTCTGGGCATGGGTAAACCATCTTGCCTTGTCATAATCGACGAAAAAATTACTGAGTCTTTAAGGTGATTGTTTTCTAACTGTACTTTTCACTCGCTCCTGCTGCTTAGGAGTTAGCCTGCCTGGTCATGTATTTTATAGTGAGAGAAAACACAAAGCAGTTCTGGAGTTTATAACCTTTACTTTTCACATTCTTTCTTTAACTATTTCTTTTGTAAATCCCAAACATTCAGCTATACTTGCGTACTTTGAGGTTTCAAGCTCTACAAGCAGCGGTCTAGAAGAAGGTTTTTCAGTACAAAAAAGGAATATGACTACATTTCTAGTACTTCTGTGTCTACATTTAATTTATTTGTGAGTGACTTGCCAAGTTATCACTGAGATCTAAGAAAACTGTCTCAAAGGTCAGAAGACAATCTAGGTAACCGAGGTACAGAAATGCAAATGAACAATAATGACTTGGCTGAAGAAAAGTCCTTCAAACTTGCCCTGTAATTCTGCCCCAGAGATTACGACCAAAAATTGTGTTTTAGGCAGGAGTAGCCTTCTGGAAGCTCCATAGTGCTGGTGGTGTGGGAGGGTCCAGTTTCGCTTTCTTGGCTTTGTGTTCTTGGCTTCTGTGTCGAGTCAACTGTGTAGATGTGGCTGATGGCTGGATATGGTTATTAGAAATCTTTAATGGCTTCACAAAGGTACTGCATGAGGTAGCAAGTATGGGGTAAGATTTCTCAAGGAAAAGTCCGATCTGTCTTGTATTTACTGCTGAGGAAGGGTGTGCAGCAAATAGGCATGAGGTTGCTGCTGTGTTGCAATCATGCTCTGCTTATGTTGTTTCTGGAGCTTGTGCTTGAGTACCTGTCGCATCTTTGGGTGCTCAGTATGTCTTTTAACTTTCTGCCTGTTCAGCCATTGAGCAGCCTGCTTGGTAGGCACAAAGCTGGTCTTCCATGAGAGATTTGGAATGTGAAATGGAGAGTTGGGATCTGAATTTGTAGCTTGTTGCACCAGTTTAAGTTAGTCTGGTTGGTTACTTCTGATTTCTTGTATGTGTTGCTGCAAAGGAGTGGAACCTTTATCAGTTTTCTACACTTTGGGAAGTATTGTCTCAGGATGACAACTGTACTTTCTAATAAGGAGAAGAGGAGCTCTGTTTCTCTGATTTTGGTGGATGTGAATATATGGAGGTGATAAGCTGAAGCTGTATTTTTTACTTAGTGCGTGATAGCACTCTGATTTCTAATATGGAGTTAATTAGTGCAAGTGTTTTTTTTGAGAGCTTGTCTCAGCCCCTGACAGCTGTGTTATATCAAAGCAGAAACAAAATATTTTGGAGTTGATATTAATGAGTCCGTCGTGTAACTTCCAGCAGTAAGTCGAGCATGTGGGAGTAGAATATGTATGTTAGAGCTGAGGAAGGAGCCCCACAGAAAAGTACTTTTTTTTCTTTTTTTAAAGACACTTGCTAATTTGGTCAGCCTCTTGTATTCCTAAAAGAATTGTTAGTAAGGCTGGTGTTTCAATCGGCATTTGCTTTTCACTTTTCTAAAATCCTGGTACAAAAGTTTTCTCACTGAGGGGAAGTTCAACATCTAGATTTTTGGTAATGTTGTCAAACTAACTTCCCAGTTTTAATTTTCTCCAAGGTTTTCAGATGAGCTCTGAAAGTTATTTCTGGCTTCTGATTACTGCTGTGGTTTTAGGAAGATCACTGCACTGGCAGTTATGAAGAGCAGAGCTTCCTGTCTTTCTTTCCACTTTCTTAGTAAACCTTTCCCCCAAAATAAGTTTCTTGTTAATTAGAGGGAAATTAACCTGAGCAGTGTTTCATGGAACCTATAAGGTTTGAAAGGACATGATGAAGTCTTGCCATCGTGTAGACTGACGAATGATCTTCGAGGAGCTTTGTTAAATACAGTGGGAAGGGTATTAATGTGTTTTTTTTCTTTTCAAGATGAACCCAGTATTCCCATTAACCTGAATTTTCCTGACTTAAAATCTCCCTTACAGGTTTCTCCCAGCCAGGGACATGTGCAGTCGGTACCAACTGTGTTGGGTGAAGCGTTGCTGGGATGTACTCCTGCTAACAAAGACCAAAGGCATCAAGGCCTGCCCCTGCCAGCGAACTCGCCACCCAATCTTGGTGCAGAAACTCCTCAGGGGTAAGGAAATCCATTTATGCTTATGCAGGCTTTATTTCTTCTGAAAATAACTTCCAATTCTTAGCAAAACAAACTCAGAGGTAATTTTAAAGGATTGTAGTGACTAGTCTTCTCTAATATCAGCATAGAAAAGTGTTAGACTTAATTGCTCTAGATACATAATTTACTTGCTTGCACCATATTTTTATTTTTTATCTTTGAAGTATTGCCCTTCAATGTCCCAATGTGCTACTGCTTCATTGGACCCATTTGTAAACTGATGGGTTATACATAGATGTGGTGCCTCCTTTTTGGCAAATGCCTTCCTCTCCTGCCCTAAGAAAATCAGAACTCATTCAGGCAGGTGTCCTGCACAGTAGCTTCGTGCAGATCCAAGCAAAGGGCTTCAGTTATATCTCTGTTGAAGCCCAGTGGCTTTAATCTTCTCTGTGACCCCCCAATTCTGTCACAAAAATGAACAGAATGGTAGAATACTGTGACAGCAAAATTCAAAGTTTATGCATTAGCTTTGGAGGTGATATAGGTTTGGGACTTTTCCCCCTCACTTAGTTTTGTGTTTATTTCTCAGAAGATAAATGCAGAAGATATGTTTTTGGGTTTTCATTTGAGCTTTTTGTGTGAGTGGCTTTACTGTCTCCAGTATAGACTTAGTAGTGCTAGCCAGAAGTTTCTTGAGTATTAGAATCTCCTCACACAGACATACAAGTGAAAGACATTTTTTTTGCACAGCCATTGTATGGAGAAAATGAAAAAGTAACTGTTTAATTGAGAGAGACGGTAGTGAAGTAGCTGCAGTACCTAAATTTGTGTGTGCCTACAGCATTATCATTCTGTTTAACTCTTAAAAACAATCAAAATCAAAAAAACCCTCAAAAATATCCAAACTCAGAACTTCAAACCTATTTAACCTCACACAAAATTTAAAATCTTGGAACATCAGAATTCAAAGTACAGAATTAAATTTCCTCTTTCAAGCTTTAAATAGGAGTAACTTTAGCAGCTGATGCCCTGTTTTGACTGACACCTTTTTCTTTGCCTGATTGTTGTGTGTTGCAGCACATGTAGACGAAGCTTACCAGAAACTCATCCTTCTTGTCTCAGTACTGGAATTAAGCCACTGAAGGAAGATCTGACAGCCTTTCCTAAAGTGGGGTTTATATCTACAGAAAAAACACAAAATCTTAGTGATCAAAATGGTAAATATACCTCTTTGACAAACTTGAGACCTTCATCTTTGACTGGTTCAGCGAATGAAAAAGGCACCAACCTGAAAAATACAAATGAACCTTTTATGAAGCCCCCAACAAACTTTCCAAAAGAATGCGTTTCTGCAAAACAGTTGCAACATCTTAACTCTTCCGTAGCAGTACCCAGAGTCAGCAGCACTTTTGAACTGCAGCGGACTTTGGAGTGTAGACCCTCAACCTCAGATGCTCATCTTCTCCCTTTTACTGAGTCTGGAGTTAAATCGCAAAGCAATTGCAACGGCCAGAACAGCCACAAGGGAAACAAGATCGATGAACTTGCAGACGTGGAATTTTTCATTAGAAGAAATGAAAGTGAAAGCTTTTGGACTGGAAGTACCAAGGTGCAAGATAATAGTAAGTATTTTTAAAACTTGCTGTCATTTGAAAGTCCTTGTAATTTCTGTGCAACTACATACAAGTAGGTCCTTCTTAAATTACTAATCTTGCGTACATCACACTGTGAGTGAATCTGGAATTTGAGTTGTTTGTGGGGCCTTTTACAAGGGGATCGCAAAAAACTTGAGAAAAACATTATTTCCTGATAGAGGAGGGGGACTAATCATTAATTTCTAGACATAAGTTACGAAATGTATGCGAGAACAGAATGCCAAAATAGGTTACAAGCCCAAGGTTTTGTTTGGCATGCAAATGCATAATGAGACTGTTTTGTGGTTTGTTTGGTTTTTTTTCTTCTTTAGCAAGGCTCCTAAATTTTGTAACTGTGGTGAGGGATGTAAGTTATCAACAAAGCTTTGTTCAAGAGGGGCTTTCATTTCAAAACATTTCTGAAAACAAAGCAAACAAAAACCTCAACCAACCAAAAAAAAACCCCGCCACGCCAGCAATCAAACCCCACCTAACCCCAAAGCAGCCCACCTTGTTTCTGTGTTTTCTGTGGCCCAGTTCCACGTGAGCAATCCCCTTTCCCATGGGCCCAAATGGGAAAGGCTGTGGTTGTTTTAAGGAGCTGGACTCTGCGTTACATTTTGTGCTGTGCACCAATATATATACGGATGTATAGCACATCACTCAAGCTTCTGGGAATCTCCACACACACCCACCTCTTCTTTCTTTGCAATCTCGTGTTGCTTGGTCTTGGGTTACCCCGTGCTATTCCATAATTAATGTGGATGCGCAGCCGGCCAAGCAGTTGTGCCCTGCTAGGCCTCACCCGCAGCGTGGGCGGAAGAGATGGTTGGCTCCTGTCACAGTAGGATGCTGAAAGCCATCGCATCATGAAGGTGAAAATAAGACTGAGATGGCCGGGTTGGACTTCTGTCCCCATTACTTGTGAAATGTGGCTGCTTCATGCCCCAGGCTACTTGATGCTCTGGTACTCCAGCCCTGATGGCTGAAAAGCTTTCATTAAAAGCTCTTTTCAAGTATTCTCTGTGGAGGAGCGAAAGGAGCTGTTAAACTTGAGTCCACAGACTGTGACTCCGGTGGAATTCTAGCTTGAGAAAGTTTCTACTGACCTGCAAAGAGGTTTCTGCCAACTGCATATATTTTAGCTTAACTTCATTTCAATGTAATGTGAACCTTGCAGTTGATGTGGATCTTTCACTAAAACGTATTTACTTGCCTCTTTATGTGAGAAACTGAAGCTTCTCTAACCTGCGCTACTCTTCCCTGCAGTAATTGTTCGCAAGTCAATTTTAGCAGATGCTGCTAAAGTGAAGAAGCTGCAGCAAAGTGGAGAAGCGTTTGTACAGGATGGCTCCTGCAATAATATCGCACCTCACTTGCATAAATGCAGGGAATGCCGCTTGGACAGTTATCGGAAGAACAAAGAGCAAAGAGACTCCACTGTCTTTTGTCGATTCTTTCACTTCAGAAGGTAAGAACACCTTTGACTGTCCGTATGTACACCTTGGTATTCTCTAAATGTGAGTAAAGTGCCCTGTGTCAGAGTTGGACATCTGACCTTTTTTGCTTTTCTGACAGGGGGCTACTGAGTGCTTACTGTTAGCTAGAAAATGGACTTCATCTTGCAGGACAGATAAAAAAAGCAGTTGTGTAGCCAAAAAAGTCCTCTAGCTCTCTAGTTTAAAGCTACTAGATGTTGGTGTGTAGCTGTTAAGCCAGAAGGCTAATATACCTAAATAATGAGCAGTAGCCTGTGGTTTTTTAGCCCTTAGAAATTTTATGACTGCTTAATTTGAGTAGAAATGCTCTTTGGCGGGACTTTGAGCTTCTTTTTTTTTTTTTTTGCTATGCTGGGCTGGGTGCCACTGGGATAACGTGAGTTTAGTTTGAGCACTACAGCTCAGTGTTGTTGGAGTTACTAGTGAGAGTAGGCTCTGTGCATGCTTCCCAACGTTTAGCAGTGCCGTAAGTGACCGAGAGCTTTCTACTGGATTTGTGGAATAGCAATGGGCAAAATATGTTGCGTTCCTCGATTCTTTGTTCCTTTGTTCTTTAAGCTCTGCCACAGCGACACTGAATTGGTGTGCTCTCTGCATTTTGGGAGAGTCGGTGAGGAGACTTTAAGGAAAACCCAGTGACTGCGGAGCTGTGGTTGCTTTTCTAAACCTAAGCTGCAGCTTCAGGTCCTTTACCGCCACCTGCACCCCTCCCCAGCGCCTGATTCTGGAATGAACAAAGCCTTCTGATGTTTTATCTCTTTAGTTCTTAAGAGGCCGTGAGGAACCCTTTCAGAACGAGTGTTAAACTTAGTTGAAGCCCGTCTCTAAGCCCAGGGTGGATGTTGTCAAACTGTAGTGCCTGGCTGGTTTTTAGCATGTCCATTCCTTTGTTTCCAAGTTGTGTAAATGTTTTCCATGAACTATTTGATCTTATGTCCAGATGTTCTTGCAAACTTCTTGTTTCCTGCTCCTCCCATTTAAACTTCGAGGCATGGACTGTGTTTTGTGGGAAGAAGGTAACAGTTATGATAGTAGAGAGGAAAAGCAAAAATATTAGTTATCACAAGGGAGTTAGGAAGCTTATTTATTCTCAGTTTTCCTTTTGATTTTTCATAGGAATGACTTTCGTTTGAGTCTCTAGATAGAATAAAAACAAGCTATAGGCCTGAAGACTTTTGAAGAGAGAATGAAAGCAGAAATCATATTGCATTAGAATCAAATGTTAAAATGATCACAGAAAAAAACCCCAAACTCTTCCACTCTTGTTTGCTTCTTGAGGTTTCACACTGCAACACTATCCACCTTGCATGTTTTGTAGCTAAAGGTTTAAAAAAACCAAGAGTATGTGTTACTAATCTGTTATTTAACCTCAGATTATAGATTTTGCTATAGTAGATCTTGGAATAATCTGACATAATTGAAACATTCAAAAGCCTATGAGACAGACTATGCTAATTCATCTTCTCGGGTAACAATCCAGACTTGCAGTTCAGTTCAAAGCAGTTGAATCCTTAAGTTTAGAACTTGAAGCTGGTTGAACCATCCTGTTTTACTGAATGGGAAATCTGCAGAGTCTGAAGATGGCATTTGTCTGCTGATATCAGTTGCCAACACATGGTTTTTTGACACATTTAGCATTGCACTGAGCATGTCTTGTCATCAGAAGTCAGCTTCCCTCTATGGCCTTTGTTAAAAAGGTTCCTGAAAACGTGAGCTGAACTTGATTTGTGTTGGGGTTTTTTATTTATTTAATAAATTACTAACACTACAGATCTCATTCTTTCCAGCTGCTTGGAATCACTCAGGAAAGTACCATACACAAATCTTTATCAAATTTTTTTTTTTTTGAGGGAGGCAGCTACTTTCAAATTAATTGTTGCTGAAATATATCCTATGTTTAGGGTGTTCTACCTTCTATTGTGAGTTGTCTGTCGTTCTAGATTAAGTTTTTACTGTTACCTTGTCTAGATGTGATCCTTAATGCCAGTGCATTTTAAGAATTATGTTAACCTGATTTAATTTTGTGTGCTTAAAAAAAAAAACAACAAACTCCTTTAGTTAGGAAACCTACCTCACTACAAAAACCTGATGTTTTGGATGTTTTGTTGGGTTGGTTTTTTATTTATTTTAACATTAAGCATGCCTGACATTACTGACCAATATGTTTAATCCTGTCTATTGTAACCAACAAGAGTTAAACTTGTTGACATACAACATACATGTTTACAATTCAAGCATTGCCTCATTGGAATGAATGTAAAATAATAAAACATTTGAGATTATGGGGTTTACTCCTTTTCCCTCTCTTTCCACAGGTTGCAGTTCAATAAGCACGGGATACTGCGTGAGGAAGGCTTCTTAACTCCAAATAAATACGACCCGGAGGCTATTAGCTTGTGGCTTCCTTTATCGAAAAATGTCGTGGGTTTAGATCTTGACACAGCGAAGTACATCCTGGCCAACATCGGAGACCACTTCTGTCAGCTAGTGATATCTGAAAAGGAGGTTATGTCTACAATTGAACCACACAGTAAGATCAATTTGTATTAAAATAATCTATGTTTTAATAGTTTAATGTGACACTTAAGGCTTCAGTGCTTCCCTCTCTTCTCAGGGAGAGGCAGTGCTTAAGACCCAGGGTGAACTAGTGTCAACAACTCTTTGCTCGCAAAGAAAGGGAAAAGTAATTCTACCTTTCTTTGTGTCAGAAGAACTTTCTCAATTTATCAAATTACTTTTCCTGTTGCAGAGTGTAATTCTGTTATGAAACAAAGTGTAAAAAAAAAAAAATAGCAAGCAGCTGACAGCAATCTATTCTTAGCATGTAAATAAAGCTTTCATTTTGACTGCACAGGTTCTGTTAGATTGCTTTGGTCCTGTTTTGTTGTTCTTGCATAACAGACCTAATGCTGCTTGTAAAGTCAGTAAAGAAATCTTTTTCCTCCAGCTGAAAGCTTCCAGTAGGACTCTTTCAAGGGATTGGGGATAGAGCAGAGAGATGCTGTCGGTGGGGAAACTGGCCGCAGAGCATCATCCCTGTGCACGGGGAAAACCTTGCATCTTTGCCCCTGGGCTTTCTGGCCACATCAGAACTTTTTTGTAGCAAATGTGAGGAGACAGATGGGGAGGGTTCTGATCTTGCATAACCACTTCTCAGAGCAGAATGACTCTTAAAATGGTATTTGTTTTTTAGATTATAAGTGCAGTACAGGCAGTTCAGGTTAGAAGACTGTCTGCGCAATGTCTTCTGCATTTGAGTGGTGTTGACATTGTATAAAGATTGTATCAGTTTACCAGTCCAAGGTTTTGAATAAAACCAAAAAACCTGAACAAGCTTGAATGCCCTTCAGAAGGGGATTTGAGATGTTTCAGAAATGCATTCTCTGGGGTCTTACCCTGGAGTACTTGGAATCTGCAAAATCTGCTCTTTGCTTGAACTGGAACGTATTCAGGCTTGCAGAGCCAGAGTATCAATAGCCTGAGTGACAGGTACAGACTGAAATATTGAAACCCTTCCAGAAGCATGAGATTTTGGGTGGAATTCATGAAACAAAGGGGACGTGTGATATTTCTTAATAGCAGAGGATGCATCTGTTAGCACACCTACCAGAAACATCCTCTGTTTAAAAAAAAGTATGGATGTGAGTTCTGGATTTGGGTTGAAAAGAGTGAAATGTCATGAATTCCTCTTCGATTGTTTATTGCTCTGGCTGGTGAGAACAAAGGAACTCCATTTCATTAAAATGGAGGATGTTTTTTAATGCCCTGAATGGGAAAGAAATAATTTACAGCCTAGAGATTCATTCTTTTGAACTGAAAAAACATGCAGTTGACACAGAAAAAAGGTGGATTTTTCTGTCACTGTGATTTGAAGTTTTGGTAAACTGTTCTTGGCAGAGTTCGGCTGAAATGATACCTTTTCATAAAAATTCTGTCTTTGAAAAACTCGCCTTTTCCAAAATGTCAAAATATTGTGTTCAAATACTGCTTTTTAGGGGGATAATTTATGTTTGAATATTTTTGCACTCTATAGTATGTCTTGAGGTCAGCCCTGCTTTCTTTTACCAGTGAGTTACCAGACTGGGAGGTAAAGCCATAAGACAAACAAGTGTAGGGATAAAATTACTTGGGAGAGCTTCCTTTAAAGAGAGTTCCTCAGAGGATTAGTAGAAAAGCACAAGTGAAATTATCCCTGGGTAGTAAAAGATTGACCAGTGTCGAAAGAACAGCTTGTTAGGTCACATTGCTCCTTGGCCACCAGTGCCAAGAGGAGATGAGATCAAACTGCAGGGAGGAAACAAAAGAATAGGAGGAGTGGAAAAGAACAAAAGCCAGAAAACTGAAATATGGAATGACCTGCAAAAGATAACAAAAACCGTCGTGCCGTTCTGAGGAAATTGTAGGATTTGCCTAGAAAATGGTAAATAGAGTGCATGTTTTTAAAAGGCAGGGAAAAATGGAACTGTTGATATTCAGACCTCTGTCTTTTAGAAGAATTTTGAAGCAAGTAGCCAAACAATTTTTACCTCCTACTTCAGAACAAATTGTGCCAAGCTAATCTAGTTCTGCTCCATACATAGTTAATGGGCATTATACAGAAAAAGCAACAGATGTCTTGGACCCTGGTGTGGTTTTTTTAGCATACGTTAGGACGTGGCCTCTCATAACTTGCTTTTAAAATTAAGAAACACTGTGGGCAGAAAAGTTTCAGAGAAGTTCCAAGTGTGGAAGGAGGTAGGAGGAGGCAGATGTGTGCTTTTGGTCTAGTCTGGTTTTCCAGCTGGCGACATAATGAAACAAAAAGCAGGCGAAGCTCATCAGTACATAATGCGAGCTCTGGAAGGGCTTGTAGGTTTTCGAAGGTACTGTCCCCGTTTGGGATGTTTGGAGAGAACTGAAGAAGTGACTTGGGGTCAGGAAAGATGGAGTATAGTGGGGGTGTAAGAAACCTGAGCAGCAGTGGGCGGTTCTTCACCACTCACCAGTTTGAGAAGGTCTGATGCAAACCTATAAACATGTAGAAAAGCTGCTGAACAGAAGAGAGATCCTTGTCACTGTGCTGTCGACTAGACAATAAGGACAAGCTGGTTGTGATATGATTTAACTTTTTTCTAGGCTAGCTGTGGAATTTGTACTTAGGAGCTTGTCACCAGTGTGCGTGGTAACTTGGGCAGACATGTGTCAGGAGTACAGAGAAAGCAAAGTGGTTTTTTTTGATTCCTTAGACTCTATCCTGGACCTGCTTTTCTGAATCTGTAATGGCAAAGGCTTTGTTTTGGAGTTCCACTACAAAACCAAGTCTGAGTCTTACATCGCTTGAAGTGGTGTAGCTATATTTAACATGCAAATATTTTGTTTTGTATAAAGTAACACTCGGACTAACCCATGAATTACTACAGGACAGGTAGCCTGGAAGCGTGCGGTTCGTGGGGTTCGAGAAATGTGTGACGTGTGTGACACCACCATCTTCAACCTTCACTGGGTCTGCTCGAAATGCGGCTTTGGTGTTTGTGTGGATTGTTACAGGATGAGGAAGAAAAGCTTACCTAAAGGTGAGGATGCGTATTGCTGCTTCTGAAAAAGAGGGGA